TTTCTTTATAGTCTTAAATCATTATTACATGCATGCAATCCTTATTAGTATATACACACTCAGTGATCTTGGTGATTTAAGCAATCTGATTGGTTCGCTATCTCGGACTATTCAACAATATTCACCTCCTAGCGAGTGGATAATGTGTGAGCTCGCTTTTTTCCCATTTTCTTAAAGAAAGATCTTTTAAAAGTCAACAAAATCCTAGGGTCGACTTTTTTTTAGGCAAGAAAAGACTTCGAAGGATTCAAAACGGCGTTTTTCCATTTACTGTTTTTGAGTTTAGTGGTCGATGGATTGTTTACAACTCCCGTTTATTTGCCTAGAAGAGGCCGTTTTGTGAACTCAGCGTTTCCTAACAAGAAAAATTTGGCCCAACAACGAAGTTTATTTATGACAAAGAAATTTGAAAGCAAATGTTTGCAGAAATTCCACGTTTCAAGAAAACACAAGAAGGAATACTACATGAAAACGACGTCTTACCTCGAGGAGCCGAATCGCCATTTTTGTCAGCACTTCATGCGAAGAAAGACACAACAAACTTTTTCGGCTATAAACTTGGCGAGTCAACAGAAAACAACAAAAGCTCTTCTTTTCTTCTCAGGTAAGGAAACAATTCAAACTTTTAGCGGTTCTATTGAAGGTATTATTGTTTGCGAAGTGATAAGCTTGTGAATTGCCATGTTTGAAAATTCTACAAAGATCTATTTTTAAACTGTCGCGTGTGTAGCTGACCTGATCTGTCAATCAAATCGTACTTTTTAATGGTTTCCTCTCTGATTTTGTTGAGATCACTTCGTGTGTATATACTAAAACAATTATTCTTTTCAATCTCGGTGAATAGTGGCTTTAGGAATATTTACCTCGCCACTTCGTGGCTCGGTAAATATTTTGCCACTATTCACCTCGATTTCAAAGAATAATTGTTAATTGATCACTGAAGAACCCAGATGGATATGTAGTCAATAAAATGTCTGTTATGTTAAACTGTATTATTTTTGTTTTATTCGCCCAATATTGTAAAAAATAATATTGTACATTTGGTATTTGTAGCTATACATGAGCAGGAGATCTCAGCTCTCAGCAAGCTCTGCTGAGCCTTTCATAGGAGATTCCCAACTTTACTTATCAATTAAATTACTTAACATATTGTTTGCTACTTAATATTACAATATAAACTCTATCGAATTTTAATGAAATGATGCAAGCTCACCAATTTTAGGAATTTTAATGTACTGTCACATGCCTTTCAACATTTTAGAGGTTCTTTTAATTCTTCCAAAATAGTTGTTCCTAACTTAAAACTCTACAAGAGAAACCACGTTTTTCAAAAATGCAAAGAAACCTAAAAACTAAATGATTTCTTGTAAATACAAGACTGCAGATACACGTTCTATAGACTTAAATTTCAACAAAAAGAACTCATGATCATTTACTTCAACAAGTTAACTGCTTTTAAATGTAAGTAGCTTTATTTTGACGATTCGGGTAACCGAAATCTTTCGTAACTGTGTATTCCCGGGTAAGTCCATTTAACCGAAACAGAATGTTTCGTGGAATCACAGCTACGATAGCATCAGCTTAATTTACACTTTTATATGACACCTGACCAGACCACAGAGTCGTTACGTATAAGTTAATGTTTTCGTAGCTATTTCTTAAGCCAAAAGCATATTATTATAACGTTTCTAACTGGCTTCCTTATTTTTTTTTATTTAAGATTACCTCTATTTCCGTAGAACTATTTGCTAATTATTCTGGTCTTTTCTTTTTAACTGTTTATGTTTCAAAACAGACCCATATGGTCAAGGTTCAAGAAGCTATTCACCATGGCATGATTGCCGCAGATTTTCTTTCAAACACTAAACGAGTTGTCCAGGCTATCGAGCTGTGGAACGAGTGCTTAATACTACTAAACAACAAAACCTTAGAAAACGAACATGAACTTGCCACGATAGTGAGTATAGCGCTGTATAAGAAGCTGTTTTATGGAAATGCTGCTGTTACGAAACTTTCACCAGCTATAGAATCTGGCAAAAAGCTTTTAGTCCTACTTCGTAATCGTAAGAGAAAAAAAGAAGAAGGTAACACGGCCTTGATGTTATCAAAACTGTACTTCCAAAAAAGTGAATACCAGGAAGCACAAGCATTCCTCAAAATTGCACTCTGCGTTTACAAAGAAATCGAAGACAAAGACGGAGAGGCGTCATGCTTTTTAAGCCTGGGAGCTGTGTTTAGCTCTGTCGGTGAATATGCCAAGGCTAAAGAATATCTTCATAAAGCACTTACCATCAAGACAGAAATTGGCGACAAACACGGAGAAGCGTCATGCTACGGAAACCTAGGAAGTATGTTTCGATCTGTCGGAGAGTATGCCAAGGCTGAAGAATATCTTCATAAAGCACTTACCATTAACACAGAAATTAGCGACAAACAAGGAGAAGCGTCATCCTACATGAACCTAGGAAATGTGTTTCAATCTGTCGGAGAATATGCCAAGGCTGAAGAATATCTCCATAAAGCACTTACCATCAACACAGAAATTGGCGACAAACACGGAGAAGCGTCATGCTACATAACCCTAGGAACTGTGTTTGAATCTGTCGGAGAGTATGCCAAGGCTGAAGAATATCTTCATAAAGCACTTACAATCAGCACAGAAATTGGCGACAGAGACGAAGAAGCCACATGCTACAGAAACCTAGGAGCTGTGTTTCAATCTGTCGGAGAATATGCCAAGGCTGATGAATATCTTGATAAAGCACTTACCATCAGCACAGAAATTAGCGACAGAAAGGGAGTAGCGTCATGCTACAGAAACCTAGGAGCTGTGTTTCAATCTGTCGGAGAATATGCCAAGGCTGAAGAATATCTTCAAAAAGCACTTACCATCAACACAAAAATTGGCGACAAACACGGAGAAGCGTCATGCTGCATAAACCTAGGAGCTGTGTTTGAATCTGTCGGAGAATATGCCAAGGCTAAAAAATATCTTCATAAAGCACTTACCATCAAGACAGAAATTGGCGACAAACACGGACAAGCGTCATGTTACATAAACCTAGGAAATGTGTTTGAATCTGTCGGAGAATATGCCAAGGCTGAAGAATATCTTTATAAAGCACTTATTATGAGCACAGAAATTGGCGACAGAAAGGGAGAAGCGTCATGCTACAGAAACCTAGGAGCTGTGTTTCAATCTGTCGGAGAATATGCCAAGGCTGAAGAATATCTCCATAAAGCACTTACCATCAACACAGAAATTGGCGACAGAAAGGGAGTAGCGTCATGCTACAGAAACCTAGGAGCTGTGTTTCAGTCTGTCGGAGAATATGCCAAGGCTGAAGAATATCTTTATAAAGGACTTACCATGGAGACCGAAATCGGTAACAAAGACGGAGAAGCGGCATGCTACATGATACTAGGAACTCTGATATTTAAGGCTGGTGAATGTGAGAAGGCTCAAAAATATTTTGAGAATGCTCTTGAAATTAGCAGGGCGACTGGAAACATCGCTTTGCAATTTGAAACTTCTCTTGTTCTAAATGAGTGTTCTTTTAAAATAACAGGAAACATATCTGAAGCCTTATCCAATCTCTGGACAAGTATTCAAATTTGCGAAAAAATGCTTATTTCTCTAGGAAGCAAAGATCGCCACAATATATCATTTTTTGACAAAAACGCGTCTCCCTATCGGCTGTTTTGTTCATTGAGTTGTTCTAGTGGGAAACCCTATGAAGCTTTACACGTTGCTGAACTTGGACGGGCCAGAGCTCTAGCAGAACTTATGTCAAATCGCTACTCCATTAAAAAAGAAGTATCCATCGACCCACAATCGTTTGTTGGTATCGAGGAAGTAATTAAGAAAAATGGCAACAGCACCTGCCTCTACATCTCCTATGACTACGATGACAATATATTTTTGTGGGTTTTGAAACAAAGCAAACCGGTAGCTTTCCGAAGAACGAAACTTTGTGAAGGCTATGTTAGCAAGCACGGCAAAATCTCTGTGTATGACCTGTTTGGAAACGAAAGCTTCTTAAGAAAATCAAATCTGGAAGATAGTCTCTCATCCTTGCGTCCTCTTTTAGATGAGGGAGAAGTATACACAGACCCTGAACCGCCAACACTTTTTCAGGTTTACAACATGTTGATTGCTCCCGTAAGTGACTTGCTAGAAGGATCTGATGAAATCATTGTTGTTCCTGATAACTGTTTCTTCCAAGTTCCTTTTGCAGCGTTACATGATGAAAGTAACCGCTATTTGTCAGATTCTTTCAGGATACGCATTGTCCCTTCTTTAACGACTCTCAAGCTCATTCTCGACAGTCCAGCGGACTCTCACAGCCAAACTGGTGCATTGATTGTGGGTGAGCCAAGAGTGACGGATGTGTATTTCAAGGGAAAGTTAAGGTATCTCTGTCCATTGCCTGAGGCGAAAGCAGCAGCAGAGATGATTGCAAGACTACTACCTCAATCTCACCTTTTAATAGGAGAGCAAGCAACAAAGCAGGCAGTCCTTCAGAGAATACCCTCAGTCAGTCTCGTACATATCGCTGCTCATGGTGATGCCGAAAGAGGAGAAATTGCTCTTACCCCCCCTGACTCCACAATGGGGATTTCACATGAAGCAGACTACTTACTGTCAGTGACCGACATTTCACAAGTTAGACTCTCAGCCAAACTGGTGGTCCTTAGCTGTTGCCATAGCGCACGTGGACAGATCAAAACAGAAGGCGTTGTTGGAATCGCTCGAGCATTCTTAGGATCGGGTGCACGCTCCGTGTTGGTGGCATTGTGGGCCTTGCAAGACGACGCAACAGAGCCGTTCATGAGAAGATTCTACGAAAACCTTATCCAAGGAGAAAGTGCAAGTGAATGTCTTCACCGGGCCATGAAGTGGATGCGAAATAACGGTTTCCCTGAAGTGAGGCAGTGGGCACCTTTCATGCTGATTGGGGATGACGTGTCATTTCACTTTGGTGAAAATTCACCATGGCATGATTGCCGCAGATTTTCTTTCAAACACTAAACGAGTTGTCCAGGCTATCGAGCTGTGGAACGAGTGCTTAATACTACTAAACAACAAAACCTTAGAAAACGAACATGAACTTGCCACGATAGTGAGTATAGCGCTGTATAAGAAGCTGTTTTATGGAAATGCTGCTGTTACGAAACTTTCACCAGCTATAGAATCTGGCAAAAAGCTTTTAGTCCTACTTCGTAATCGTAAGAGAAAAAAAGAAGAAGGTAACACGGCCTTGATGTTATCAAAACTGTACTTCCAAAAAAGTGAATACCAGGAAGCACAAGCATTCCTCAAAATTGCACTCTGCGTTTACAAAGAAATCGAAGACAAAGACGGAGAGGCGTCATGCTTTTTAAGCCTGGGAGCTGTGTTTAGCTCTGTCGGTGAATATGCCAAGGCTAAAGAATATCTTCATAAAGCACTTACCATCAAGACAGAAATTGGCGACAAACACGGAGAAGCGTCATGCTACGGAAACCTAGGAAGTATGTTTCGATCTGTCGGAGAGTATGCCAAGGCTGAAGAATATCTTCATAAAGCACTTACCATTAACACAGAAATTAGCGACAAACAAGGAGAAGCGTCATCCTACATGAACCTAGGAAATGTGTTTCAATCTGTCGGAGAATATGCCAAGGCTGAAGAATATCTCCATAAAGCACTTACCATCAACACAGAAATTGGCGACAAACACGGAGAAGCGTCATGCTACATAACCCTAGGAACTGTGTTTGAATCTGTCGGAGAGTATGCCAAGGCTGAAGAATATCTTCATAAAGCACTTACAATCAGCACAGAAATTGGCGACAGAGACGAAGAAGCCACATGCTACAGAAACCTAGGAGCTGTGTTTCAATCTGTCGGAGAATATGCCAAGGCTGATGAATATCTTGATAAAGCACTTACCATCAGCACAGAAATTAGCGACAGAAAGGGAGTAGCGTCATGCTACAGAAACCTAGGAGCTGTGTTTCAATCTGTCGGAGAATATGCCAAGGCTGAAGAATATCTTCAAAAAGCACTTACCATCAACACAAAAATTGGCGACAAACACGGAGAAGCGTCATGCTGCATAAACCTAGGAGCTGTGTTTGAATCTGTCGGAGAATATGCCAAGGCTAAAAAATATCTTCATAAAGCACTTACCATCAAGACAGAAATTGGCGACAAACACGGACAAGCGTCATGTTACATAAACCTAGGAAATGTGTTTGAATCTGTCGGAGAATATGCCAAGGCTGAAGAATATCTTTATAAAGCACTTATTATGAGCACAGAAATTGGCGACAGAAAGGGAGAAGCGTCATGCTACAGAAACCTAGGAGCTGTGTTTCAATCTGTCGGAGAATATGCCAAGGCTGAAGAATATCTCCATAAAGCACTTACCATCAACACAGAAATTGGCGACAGAAAGGGAGTAGCGTCATGCTACAGAAACCTAGGAGCTGTGTTTCAGTCTGTCGGAGAATATGCCAAGGCTGAAGAATATCTTTATAAAGGACTTACCATGGAGACCGAAATCGGTAACAAAGACGGAGAAGCGGCATGCTACATGATACTAGGAACTCTGATATTTAAGGCTGGTGAATGTGAGAAGGCTCAAAAATATTTTGAGAATGCTCTTGAAATTAGCAGGGCGACTGGAAACATCGCTTTGCAATTTGAAACTTCTCTTGTTCTAAATGAGTGTTCTTTTAAAATAACAGGAAACATATCTGAAGCCTTATCCAATCTCTGGACAAGTATTCAAATTTGCGAAAAAATGCTTATTTCTCTAGGAAGCAAAGATCGCCACAATATATCATTTTTTGACAAAAACGCGTCTCCCTATCGGCTGTTTTGTTCATTGAGTTGTTCTAGTGGGAAACCCTATGAAGCTTTACACGTTGCTGAACTTGGACGGGCCAGAGCTCTAGCAGAACTTATGTCAAA